TATAAATTTATAAATAAAAAACTAATGTATTGAATCTTTCACTACCGATTTCATTTCCCATCAATAAGAAAAATTATGAGAAAATAAATAATTTTTTTAAAAAAATACCCAAAATGGAAAATTAGACCAATTAATCTTCTTCACGGTGGTATATAATGTAATTTGATTTTCACTGTCGAAAGCAAGTTACGTGATTCTTCGATATGGCGGATCATATCCAAACACTATTAAAACTTACTTACCTCGTGAATCGTTATTATATATTTAAATAGTTTAATTTTAATAATTTTTTAAATATATTTTGTCTTTTCACTTAAAATTTTTAATTTTCTATATTTTAATTTTAATAATTTTTTAAATATATTTTTGTCTTTTTCTTAAATTTTTGAATTTTTATATTATAATTTTAATAATTTTTTATTTTTATTATTTATTAATTCTTTTTTTAATATTTTATAATATTATTGAAATCTTATAATTTTAATTTCTATAATTTTATCTTACTTTTCATTTTATAAATATAATTTGGATTATTTATTTTATAATTAAATTAGTTTTTTTTTTAAATTTTTATAAGTTTAAAAAAAGAATGTATTAATATTTCTCGATCTTTGAAAGTACCGTAGCAACTTACGTAGTTTAATAGTTTAAAGGACTTATCCAACAAGGTAAATTTTAGAGATATTCAATTTTATAACACCATCAAATTCAATATTCTTGTAAAAAGAATATTAATGAATGTCTCCGAAGCATTATTAGTGAAGGAAGTACAAATACAAAAACTAATTCATGCTTTTTTGATTAATTAATTTAATTGGAACTATTTAATAAAAATAGGTTAAATATATTATTTTTAGTAGGGATTATAATAATGATAAAGAAAAAGAGATTATAGGTATTTAATGATTAGTAATATCTGTAAAGAAAGTGTATTTAAGTCAATAATTGAAGTAGGGCAATGGAGAAAGAAAGAAAAAGGGTTAGGTGGATTATAAAGGTCCCTAATGGTGAGAAATGTATTATTACCGATTTAGCACTTCAATACGTGTATAGAAATGAAACGATGAAAGGGAAAGAAGCTCATAGTCGTAAGCAAAGAGGGATAATTGGATTAAATGAAGAGTGAAAGAGACATGTTTGTTTGTCGTATACGTCACCATGTTTCCCATGGTTTTGTTGCCACATGTTTTTTCCATTACCACTGGTTTCATTCTACTCACCACACCTTATTCAATGTTCCCATTCATTTTTCTATCTCTCGTTGGTCCCTTTGGCAACGTAGCCTCTCATCCATGTCTATATCATTCTATCCAGTGACTCTTTCGGATTTTTTTCAACATGTATTTTTTCAAAGATAAGCTTATACAAGACATGATCAGATATTAAACATGAGCATTTTCTAGCAAAAGTTTAAATATTGATTCCGAGGCTAATCCTTTCTGTTAGACTTAATCCGTTAATTAATCACTATTTTGGATAGTTTTTATTGAGAGTTTAGAAATGGTTTTGAATGTTTGTTAGTATGAATGTTGACACACCCATCATATTTTTCCTGGCTCTTTCTATTTGTGTGGGTGATGAAATCTTAAAAATACAATGAAATGTAGAAATAAAAGAGAGAAAGGATGATGACAAAGAGTGAGGGTCAGCTAGCTAGACAGCACAACACATTAAATGAGAGGCACACCAAATTTTGCGGCCTCAAGAGAATAAAAAGAAATAAGTTAAATTAGAGGATGACTAGATTCCCCGTTTTATTTCTTCTATTTAACTTTAAGTGCTATATATGTTGTTTTCTAAGATGAACACACGTAATTCCTAGGGTAAGAAAGCAACAACTTACTAATGGAGGCCCATGTCACAAATTGGCTGTCTATGTATTCATTCTTGTTCATAATAAATGACTAGGATTGCTGTAAATTGTAATCACACTCTCTCATGCTTCTTATGTTTGTGGGGAATAATACTCGCTAAAACTACCTTTTAGTTTATTGTGTGTACCGGAAGGTCCCTATCGGTCACGTTGACCAACACGTGCCGTTCTGTCAGACACCTACGCCATGATGTCGGAAACATCGGTCCAGCCAACGTCCGGGACGAATGTTACTAACGGCTCGGCATAAGACCGAGCCGGAGAGTCCCCCGTAGGGCAGGATAGTTAGACTACTGTTGATCAACCCAATTAATAATAGCGCCCCATTCCTTTACCTATCGGATCGGCGAAATACCGTACCGATAGGTGAAGGACGGCTATTAATTATGATTAGCAGGTAAGCGCATGGTTAAGTTAGTAAGTAAGTAATTAACATCGTATTACCTAATTTAGTAAACACCTGAAAAAGCCCACAATGCTCAGGCCCACGTCAGGCACTATAAATAGGTCACACATAACGAGGTATGTCACTGTTCATTTTTACCCTAAATATTCGTGCATATACTGACTTGAGCGTCGGAGTACCCTTTGCAGGTACCTCCCCCATCCCTTGGAGATATCGTTGGAGCTCTTATTCGGTCCCCTTTCACCCAGAAGAAAAGGAGTGTGCCCTTAGACAGGTACATTGTAAAAACAAGTCAGATAAAATATAATATAATATAATATAATTAAATTATATCTCTAATTCCCCTAAAATGAAAATAAATAAATACTAGCATAATAATACACACAATTGTGAGTACCATGTTTAATGATCATTTAATCTCTAATAAATACATAATAAATATATAAGTAGTTAAAAATGATTATATAATAACAAAATCTAAAAAATAGTTGTTTCAAAAAAAATTAAAGAATTACATAACTTTTATATTTCATAAATTTATTCTAAGAATTAATATTTACATTAATCGTAACTTAATTTATAAGAAAAATAAACTTGGAATAAATTATCTTACAATTTTCTTAGACTAGTAATAGACAATCATTGAAGAAGAATTACTTTTAAATTATTGAAAAAAATTGAATAAAAAGAATGCTGTGATGTAATTCACAAAGTTTATTGTCTTGAAAGTAAATTCTGGCACACTTTAAAGGTTTCATATCCACTTTATTTTTCTAAAATTTACAAAGCAACATGTTTTAGCTGGTACAATCAAAGTCAAAAATACATTGTATCCTCACAAACAATGACAAAAAGAATAAAAACACAGAAAAATATAAGAATTTTTTTGTTGTGCATCTTAAAATTCAAGTTATCAATAAATCCGTGTACACAGTAAGCTTACGTCAACAAAAAGTTAATAAATAATTTTTAAATTAAAATATTTTTTAATTCTTATAATTTCATTCACTTTATTGTTATAATTTAAAATATATTTTTTAGTCTATTTATTTATTTTTAATTTTTATAATTTGATATATTTTTAATTTTATACTTATAATTTTTTAATCATTTTAATTATTGTCGTTATTTTTTTTAATGTTGTCTCTTTCGTACTAATAAGATAGAAATATTAATTTTAATTTATGTGTAAATATTGAATTTATTTTTCTAGAGTTATCCTAAAATAAATTTTTCATAGTTTCATATCTCTAATATATTTCATATGCAATATCTATTATTGTTGTTCAGATATTTTTTTATTTACAAAATTAAAGACATCTATCACGTCAACATAAAACACACAATATTAAAAAAATTAATAATAAAATTATTTAAAAAATTACAAATATAGAAACTAAAAATTCTCTTAAAAAATAAGTATAAAAATTAAAAAAAATTATTTTAAACTATAAAGACTAGTAAAATAAGTGAAACTGTAAAATTTTTAAAAAAAATATATATTTTAACCTAATTTTTAATTCTCAAATTAATATAAAGAGAATGTTAATAAAATTATTTTGAAAATTTAATCATTTACAGTTTTTAAATAATAATAATGATAATAAATAAAAGAAAAATATTGCTAAAAAATGATACCCAAGCATTTCATTGAAGAAAAAGAAGTAAAATTATCTTCGATCGAGATAAATGTTACACCGATTAAAATAGAGAGTCTGAAAGTTATGATTCTCACTTACCTGAATATAATATAATATAATGAAGAAGGCATATCATAGTCTTTCAATCTCTAACACAACAACTGATAGAGTAAATTGGTTTCTCTCCCTTCTCCTCTTTCCAAGACACACATAAAGATAAAGATGATAAATTATTAATTCTGTTAACTTGAGCAAGATGAGCGTCTCTTTTCTGGACACGGTCACCAACACCCAATGAGATTATTTCTTTCAAATTTCTACCTGTTATTACCTTTATTTTTTAATAATTATTACTAGGATTAAATAATTTTATGGTCCCCCATAATTATTTTTTTTTTTGCCAATTGTTGTTCCTCCATTCTTTAGCTCTCTTCATATATTGTTTATACTGTTTTCACATGAGAAGACAAATTAGAGATATCAATATAATACTTTTTGTCACAGTATGCAAAATCTTTTCAATTACATTATTACGTCATGTAATCTAATTTTAATTTTAATTTTCTGGCTGTAACAGTGATGTAAACGATGATAAGTAAAACTCTATTATATAATTAAATTATTTTTATATAAAGATGAAATTGGAAGTAAGCATTTCGTATAAGAAAAGAAGATATATTTGAAGTTAAAAAAAAAACGTGCAGTGTGGGGGCAGAGAGAGGGAATCATGGAATATTTCCTTTCTAATGTTTATCGATCGACATCGATCATTTAACTTAGACATTGCACGTTATGCATTTAAAACACGAACATACATAAACTTGTGTCTCTCAACATTTCCAACTTCGAAAAGGAAATTAGATTGACTTAGAAACAAATTCAAGGAGAGCCTCAATTCTTAAATCAGAAATATATGAAACTCATGGTTCACATAACATGAATTATGATGTTTTTTTTCTTTCTATATACACAAAGGTTGTGAAGGTTGATAATACGAATAGAATTAGCTTCGAATTTCTTAGAAAGAAATCTCGAAAGTCGAAACCAGTATTATAAAAATAATACCTTTGGGAAAAATAAAAAAAAGGAAAGGGAGAAGGATATTCATTTATTCAACAACAGGATCCTCCATTGGATATTACAGACACAGTTTTCTCACAAAATACTAAACTTCAAAAATTCACGTAACTTTAGCAGTTCTTATTTGTGTTTTTCTATGGTAAGTGCTTATTTTATTGCACTATCGTAAGTGACAAAGCAAAAAGTGACAATTATGCTTCGCCCACGACTCACGAGTACACATTAATGTTGTAATATTATGTGAAATATGTATATAAAAATAATTAAAAAGAAATACTTGTGCTACTATGTGAATAGTATAAAAAAAATTGACAACGAAAAATACTGTGATGATGATCACCGAATCCAGCAGAAAGAACAAAAAAGAAGAAATGTGACCAAAATTGGGTGTTTCAGAGACTCCCCTAGCAACAATTTACACTCATGTCAGACAACTGACTCGACAAACCAGATCCACCACCCAAATCCCTTTTCTTTGGTTTCAGTAATGGAGGTACCCAGTTACCATTAATATTACCATGTTCATCACCCTTTAATCCCTCATAAGTTTCCCTTTCATCATCACTTGCATGGCTAGGCTCTTTACGGGTCACAGAGAGCCACTTGGCTTGCATGTATGAAGCGGTTCTCCATGGTGGCACGTGGAGACCCTTCTCTCTTAGGCACTGTTTGGCAGCAGAACATAAAAGGGAAGTTATTTTGCAAAGTTTGGTCTCAGCCCCAACAAAAATCACTGGGAGTGAGTCTGTCAATTCCTTGTATTGCTGTGTAGGCCTTGCAAGTTCAAATTGCGACCTGAAGTCTATATCTACTATAAGACTCGCATTCTTCTCACCCTCTACCATCACTTCAATATACTCGTATTCACCTGTTAATTAATGTCACAAACAAAAAGTTGAATACAAGAAAGCAATAAACAGGTAAATTTCACTTCATACTAATTTTGACATAAGATCTAGCATAAGGGTCCATCATGCATGTCTAATTCAAATTTTGATATCTGCCTAAGCCAAATAATTCAATATGAGGTAACAAAAATTGAATTAGTGGTTGAGAAAAGGCATAGAAAGAGAGACCCACCAGCAGGACAACCCAAAGAGGTGGACCAAGAAGTGTGGCATATTGAAGCATTAAAACCATCCATTTTCATCTTCATAATAAGCCATCTACTTAGACTTGTTGTTTTCTCAGCACCCTTTCTATTTCTCATATGCTTCAACACACACTTCAACACCTTAGCCTCAGATGCTGCATCACCCTCACTCCTTAGAATATCCTGAAACCCATCACAACATGGGAAAAATACACATAAGAGACAACCTTAAACCGAGACAAAATTAGACAAAACATTGAACAGTACCTGTAAAATAAAATATTGGGTTCTGTGGTTTAAGGTGTGGCAATTTGAGGAAGCGGAACTTGTGGGAGATGTTGATTCGGATTCTATAAAATCTTGCACCATTTGTACCAACTCATCTTCCTCTAAACTTGTCATCTCTGTTTTTTCTCTTTTTGTAGTCAAAGAGAAGAATGGAGAATAGTGGAAATTCGTGTAAGGTTCGTGCTTATTATATAGAGAGGTATGGCGGTGGAAACAGAACCTGTGTGGTGACAGATCATAGAAGAGGCCCTGTATTGATAAGGTAAATATATTAAATAAAAGTATAAGACAAAAGAAAAGAAAAAAAAAAAAAAGTTGATAGAGGTTAAAATGTTGCTAAGGTGTACTGTCGTAATATCCTTATCTTAATTCTTTGGTTTAATAACCATGAAAATGACACAACTAAGTGTTTTCAATGTATTCTAGAACTTACTCTGAAGGTTTCTAGTGTACTATATACATACTTTTTTAATCTCGCATATTCGCTAACCGAAACTCATTTTAAATCGAGTCAAGATAATAAATTTAATTAAGGGAATAAATCGATTGAAACATTTTTATTTATTTTTATTAATGAGACTGAACTTACAATTTTTAATTGAACTTTGAAGGAAACCTGGTCCATGCCACTTCAACCAATTTGATTGGTTCTAAATTGTTTACCGACGACTTCTAGCATTTCAAACTTTTATGAAGATAACGTAATTAATATATTAACGTTATGAAATACTTATCGTGCCAAAGGCGAAAAAATCGTAAATGCACTCAATCTAACTAATAATAATTAATATATACTATATAGTGCTATCATTCTGCTACCCTTCTGTCATCAACGCTACTTTAAGTACCTTATTTATTTATTTTAAAACAAAATTTAAGCATTTAATTATACCAGATAAATCAAAACAAATATATAAAATAAATGACATAAATACACACATGCATAATGTAATAGAACATGTAGGGAGATAGTTTATATATAAACACATAACATAATGTAATATAACATATAAGAAAAAGCTTCTATTAATATTACGCACACATAATAATATAACCTAATATAAAGAACATACAGGAAAATAGTTTCTATAAAAGTTGGCTATTTTTCCTCTCCAGCCACCATCCTGCAAAATCCAAGCCATTAATTCATCATTTTAAGATGGAGAGAGAAGATAATCTGTGGTCTAGATTTGTTCTGGAGAGAAAAATTTGCTGGAGAAGCCGCAGAGGATCCTAGTGCTGAGTGTATTCTAAAATTATAATAAGTTAATCGTTTTATTGTTTGATAATCATGATCACCTTCTCTAATACTCATTTATTTCTTATTCATCAATTTTTTTAATTCTCTCAATCTAATTACTTCATTTAATTTTATTTTTAACCTTTATTATGTATATATTTCTTAATTGTTGATATTTCTGATCTTTCATGTCTTAATTTTTAAAATGTTTACAGTTATTTATACTAAATTTTTAAATAAACAATGATTCAAAGAAAACAGAGTTTAACAAAATTTATAATAAATTATACATATAAATTTTAAATTATATTAATTTAAAATTTATATGTATAAATATTTTTTGAACATATAAATTATATGTAAAATAAGATTATTTTTAATTATTGATAATTTATTTAAAAATTATTAAGTTTATTTTAGAAAGATATGATAAATATAAATTGAAATAAATAAGAAATAAAAAAAAAACTTCAAAAGCTCTCATACAAAATAATTATTAGAGGTGTCAAATAGGATAGATCAATCTAACTCATCCTTAATCACAGAGATCAATACATTTGATCATGCTAGAATGACTCATATTTTATATGATTGGCTATTTATTAGGTTTAGCCTAATATTATATCATGTCATTGAAACATAAGATTAATTTGGTCTAAATTTAAAATAAATTTTTATTACAAAATAAATTATTTATTATAAATCTAAAATATGATTTATATGATTAAAAATATTTATTTACTAAAAATTTTAATTATAATATAATTTATATGTTTGAAAGTGTTTATTTATAATAAAAAATATTAGTTATTTAAAATAAAAAATAGAAAAGTGTATATTATAAAGTTAAAATACTAATTTTATTGATTTAAATAAAAATGAAAAATATAAATACAATATTCATTCATTATTATTTTTCGTTTACATTAAAATTTTGTTATCTATTAATCTTTCACATTTAATATTCAAGTTTTTATTTTTTAATTTTTTTTCATGTTATGAATTTTTAAGCTAATAAATTAACAACAAAATTGAAAAGGTGGAAACATGAAAAATTAAGCTTAAGAGATAAGTAAAAAATGAATAAAAGAAACTAAGTAAAAGGAAAAAAAAATACAGATGGGATGCAGGGAAGCAAAGGCTGTAGTAGGTGATCATTTGCATGAGATGCAGTGCACAGTGCACTGCACACATCTTTTACATATACTTTATCCTTCTCTCATTACGTCATCTTTCCCTTGTTACTAAGTTACTTTCTTCTGATCATTTATCTCACTTTTTTTTTTTTTCTTTTCTGTGTGCAATGATTATAACAGTTTAAAGTCCAAAGATCTTTAACTCTACCACTTGGACCCTAATGGATTGGGGAAGGTATCTATCTCACTGTTATTTATTTCCCCTTTAACAAAAAATGCACTACTCAGTCTAAAGCTTTCCATCTTCTATCAATTCTTTTTGCTAAGCTTCTTATTCTGTCATGCTTCTGAATTGGGCCGCTCAACTCGTTTATTTCATAATGCTATTCCTACTCTTCATTGACTCCTGGCATACGTTGTATTGGGCCTGTCTTGTATTTCATTGGGCTCATCAATATTTCTTTTGGATCCAGCCCACTTTTTCTTGTATTTCAGTTGTTGACATAACTTGCAGTCAAATTCTCTACCATCACTTCTGAAGTTCTGTAGGGAA